GGTAGCCCTTTAGGTATTGCTCCAAGGGCTCCAATTACAATTGGGACAACACTTGATTCCTTTTTCCACAGTCGCTCAGCTTCAATTTGCAAGTTATTATTATTATTATTATTAGGCCCTTCTGGCCTTAGTTCTGGTAAATCAGAATTTGGCTTTTGCTAAGATTTCTATTGTTTGTTAAAATCCCAAAGTGAGATTACGTTAACAGCAGTCATACTAAATGTCTGTTCTTTACAACTGCTATTGTTTAATTTTTAATTTACTAAGTTACAACATACCTCTGCCATCTAACTGTAACTTTGCTCTATTCTAGGCTTTTGTAAAAGATGCCACCAGAGAAACTGAAAATAAAACCACCATCGATATATTCAATACGCCACTCACTGCCAGTTTCAATCAAAAAATAAATTTTGTCTCTGTTGATAATGCCTCTTGCAACAGTTTACCCTTGAGCCCAAGGGATAAAATTCAATACATCTTGAAGAATAAACTCCAGAGACTCACCAACTATTTCACAATTCAAAATCCAAGCAAAATTGATTGCTATTCGAAATGGTTATTTCCTTTTTTTTTCATACTAGTCAATCTGTTCTACTGGGGCTATTACTTGATTTTCTAGAAAAGTGCCTTTTCTTTGTAGAAGAAAAACTGAAAATGGGTTGGCACCATGGATTCGGGATTTTACTTTCAATTTATGTTGATGTTTCCACTGATGTAGCAAATACTGGCATTTTGTTATGAAAGGGAAGTGAAAGAATCTGTCAAAAAGAGGCTTGGGTAGATGGCTTGTCTGTTTTGATTCCCTCCTCTCCCATGCCAAATTGTGTCTGCACTATCATATTTTGGATATGGTCCAAACTATAATGTCCCTATCTTTAGGTGGAGAAGAAGCAAGAGCCACAGACTGTGGGCCAGGAATAATACAGCTTTTTAAATATTCCTCTTCACATGTAGGTTCAGCACCAATGAAGATTTGTTTCAGATTAAAAGTCATAGGATTTTTCTCAGAACCACGTCCAAATTACTTAGAACATCTTTTTTGTATCTTACAGTTTACAGATCTAGGAAGTTTAGTTTAGACCAGAGATTAGTGTGATATGGGATAGGATGAATTAACTGATGATCTACAATTGCAATCCCAATTGGTTCCTCATGCTTGCTATTTATATCATGAGGAGAGAAATCAAGGTTGGCACAAATGAGAATTCTTTTCCAGTGAAAATTGGGGACCCAATGAAGCCTGGATTGCAACAGAATTGAGCCTCGTTATTTAATACAAGATTCTTCACTTGAATCTGTCCAGTGCAGATCCTATTTGCTTTCTGAAAAGCCAATAAGACATCATACCAATTGTGACTTGTCCGTGGAGAAGAAATTCCTGCATGTGTGTCAGAATATTTCTTCTAAAATCAATTGATTTTTTTTCAGTAAAGACATAATAATAACAAATTTTCTGCTGCTGTGCCATAAATAGGATCCAAGACTTTAAGATCCATTGTATATTTAATATAGGCTCACATTGGATACATTTCTAAGCCATTTACTTTGGTGATTAACCATTAAACTGACCAATGAGGTCTAATTCAAGAAATGTACTGCATATTGTGCAATGAATAAAATAACTGATGCTTCCTATATAAAATAATAGATGGGGTTACTTGATTTCAAAAACTCTCTGGCCTACCAAAGATTCTCCAGTCACTTAAATATATTCATTCTGCAAACATGGCTAATACCGATATACAGAATTTTAACTTAGGAAACAGTGTATTTTTTGCATTTCTGTCAACCTAGCATTGGTTTCTACCAAAATAGGGCAACTGGGCCCTGTAGGGGATTTCTTTTGTAAAAAATAATTTTAGCAAACATAGTAAAACCTAATACAAACTAAACTAAAAGCAAATGAGAGTTATAGGAAAGGAAAAAAAGAAAAAGAGAAAAGAAAAAACAACAACAACAAAGACAATAATAAAGAAATAGCTTCCAAACTCAATTTCACTGTGGATAACCTAATATAATTTTTCCCCATCTTTTAAAATTACAAATAAAAAATCAATTTCTTCCAATAGCCTAACTTTTATCTATTTTTTCCCTTTTGTCAGTTGTATATTATTTTAAGCTCATAAGTCTGTTTAAAATTCATTAAATCCAAAGAAAATAAACTCACCAGTAGTCAAATTAAGCTCACTGTTTTGAAGGTCTTTAATATCCATAAGTTAGTAAGATTGAACATTTCCAGATGTGACTAGAAATAAGTTGGCTGATTATTAATTTCCTGAAATGACCAAATATAGTTTCCAGTTTGGTCTGGTGGGAACTTTTGGTTGCATATCAGTTTCTCTAACAGGTGTTTACTCTGTGATTGGTTCATAATAAAATTTTATTGAACCATTTCTCTACAATCCATTGTGAAGATCAAAAGTGCCTATTTGAAAATCATCCACTACGTAAAGTCGAGCCGAGGTGGCGCAGTGGTTAAATGCAGCACTGCAGGCTACTTCAGCTGACTGCAGTTCTGCAGTTCGGCTGTTCCAATCTCACCGGCTCAGGGTTGACTCAGCCTTCCATCCTTCCGAGGTGGGTAAAATGAGGACCCGGATTGTTGTTGGGGGCAATATGCTGACTCTGTAAACCGCTTAGAGAGGGCTGAAAGCCCTATGAAGCGGTATATAAGTCTAACTGCTATTGCTAAAGTGCAACATTCAGGAAAAAACACCCCAAAATAGACTTGCTAAGTAAGATGATTAAACACATGTTCTAATAATGACAAGTGTCTTTGTATATACCCTGTCATTTAAAACGTATGTTATATAAAATGTAAAGTGGATTTTTTTTTAAAAAAAGCAACAATACTTGTTCTTTACATTGCCTCTTTTCAAACTAAAATGCCATTTTTTTTCTTTGTTCACCAAAGTAAACCCCTTTAAATGTTATCAGCAATGGTGGGTTTCAAAAAATTTTGGAACCTCTTCTGTAGGTGTGGCCTGCTTTCCGGGTCCACTGGTGGAACCTCTTCTAACCGGTTTGGTAGATTTGACGAACTGGTTCTACCGAACTGGTGCGAACCGGTAGGAACCCACCTCTGGTTATCAGCATAGTGCATTTCATATTTATATACTAATAGTTGAATTTTCATTGTCAGGAAGGCTCCCTACACAACAGACCAAAATAAAAAATGCTGAACAGTTCTATGCCTAATAATAGAACCATGGAAATAGAAAAGACTACTAAGGCCATCAAATTCAACTCTCTATAGCTAAGGAAGCAGCAGATAAATGGAAAGGTTTCACCTACTAATGTGAAACTCATGCAATTTTTATGGGAACTACAACCTGCGCTAATAGCAGATCCATCCATGTCATGCATTTGGGGGGAACACAATATAGAATTCAAAGACCTAATCTGCATAAATCAAAGCTGTGTCAATCACAATAACATTAAAGTTCTGTCACTGGCTTAACATCTTGTACATTTTAAAGGTCTTTGGATTGGTTAGAAGGAGACTTGGGGACAAAAAACATTCTCAGTCCTCCCCAGCCCACTGTTATCACTGCCATACAAACCTACCAGCTAGCTAGCATGGAGTAATTGAGATAGCAATGTCCAGATGAGCAGAATATAAAGCGTAGCTTTCCATTTTCTATTGGTCCATCTACTCCAAAGTTACAGGTGTGGTTGAGTGATTAAGAACTAGGATCAGGGAGAATTTCAGCCATAGAAGTTCACTGGTTGACTTTGGGCATGCCCCCTTTCTTTCTCTACGGATCCATTCCACTTCAGGGTGGCTTTTGTGGGGAACAACTGCAGGAGGGAGTTCTATGTAAGGTGAACTTAAGCTCCTAGGTCAGCGGTCCCCAAACTCTTCAGCTGATCAACCCCTTCTTGAAGTTTCAGATTGTCCATCAACCTCAAAATATTTATTACATGAAAGTAATGTAATATTACTTTAACTAATAGTACTACAAACAACAACAATAATAATAAATATAGGCATTGACAAAATCATCATCCATCGGTTGCAAAAGGCAGCTTTACTTGGAACAGCTTACAGTCTGTGAAGATACATTTAACATCATCAAACCATCTGCTTATCCTTGGGAAGGACTTGACAGGTGGATTAAAAATCCAGTCTAATCATCTGGCTGAGTGTTGGACTCATTGTAATAAATAATAATATTATTTATCTCCTATTGCTATGGATATTGAGAATGTACTGGCTCTCCAACAGAGTTTGAGAGCCAGAAATGGGGGAATATGCTCAGTATGGGAAGTGAATAGGAATACTACATATATGCATATCCTTTCCAAGGCAGGGGAGTTGAGAGAAAGGGCAAGTGTGGAAGGTCATAGACACACAATATGAACGACTCTAGTAAACAAGCCCAGTAATAACACATAGCTGACAGAGCCAACTTGAGCCATTCTCATTGGTGGCTGACCGTCCAATCCTGAGTTAACACTATCTCACCTTCTTCAAGACGAGGGACTGGCTTGGAGCTCTACCTAGTTTTTGTTTCATTGTCCAACTTTTATTTAGACAAAGTTTATTCAAACTTAGCAAGACTTCAGTGTGTGTGTGTGTGTGTGTGTGTGTGTCCGTGTATGTGTCCTGGTCATTAATCAATAAAGCTTGTCATTACTTTACATATCAAAGTAATTTTTAATATTAAAATATAGTTTTATGTTCTGACCTCCCTCATCCTACACCAAAGCACGCCGAGACAAAGATTCCTGCAAAAGGGCGTGTGCACAATCATTCCTTTTATAGTCTTGAGAGGAGCCTAATTACCACCAGCTGAGTGCAATTACCTCCTGTAACGCAACTGTTCTTTACTCCTATTAGCTCTTTGGTGCCGGGCATCCAGGAACAACTCACTGCTGACGTCCGGATCACACCCCCTTGTCTCCTCCCCACTGGTCCACGGCTCAGGCACCTCCTGGTGGCCAACCAACCTCTCTGCGCCCTCCTCGGAGTCGGAACCCTGTCCAGGGTCCTCCACATCCTCCAAAGCCGACTCATAGGGCTCCTCGCTGTTGGAGTCTGGTGGCAGCTCCAACGGCTCCTGCTGGGCCACAACAGTTTTATTAGTCACATGCCAAATGTCACCATGTCATGTAGCATGACACAAAAGAATCTCCAGCTTAATATAATACCACAAGTGGAAAGAAGGAAATGAATACAAATGCAATTTCCTAAACAATTCATGTAAAGGCATTGCAGTTCTAGAGGAATGTGTTTCACAAATGTGTTGATGGAGAAGCATCGCTTTTACTGATAACAATATGAATCGACTTTTATTGGAGATATTTGTTCCATCTTCTAAAGAGAGTTGTCATAAGAAATTTCATTTACTCTATGAGATAATTCCTCTCCATGAAACTAAAACAAAATCATGATGTTCTGGAACAATGTAAGCACCCAGGACAATTGAAACAATGGTGTTTCTTATTTAAGTGCTAAAAATGAAAATAGCAAAATGGAATTAAAATGTACCTGCCAATTAGTCAAAATCATTTCCCCAAAGTCTGGCACACAGACACAAACATATTTTTTATCCAAATCTGATTTATTCCTCTGTCAAGATTATTTATAATTCAGGATGGCCTTTACATGGAATTAAATGTTGTGATCCATTAGTGCTGCTGTACACCATCTAAACAATTTTGTGTCACTTCACAATCTTCTACAATGGTAGAGTGATAACAAAATAATAATTTTAAAAAGGAGGGAATCTTCAAGTAATCTGAAATTTACCGTTCACCCAAAATTAGATTCTCTCTCAAGATTTTAATTTTTTCCAACATATTTTTTTAAAAAAATATTAAAAATTTATTTCAAGGTATTGTGAATATGGGAGTTTGTGAGCACTGGCTTGCTCCTCCAATAAGAGATTCAGAACTGTGGTGATGCAGTGGTTAGAATGCAGTACTGCAGGCTACTTCTGCTGATTGCTGGCTGCCAACAGTCCGGGAATTTGAATATCATCAGCTGAAGGTTGACTCAGCCTTCCATCCTTCTGAGGTGGGTAAAATGAGGACCCAGATTGTTGTGGGCAATATGCTGACACTGTAAACTGCTTAGAGAGGGTAAACCACTGTGAAGTGGTATATAAGTCTAAGTGCTATTGCTATTGCCCTTCACAAGGACCAGATCCATTAGAAGGAATAACTAAACTGTTACAAATTTGGGAGTACTGCAATGCACTCTACATGGGGTTACCCTTGAAGAGTATTTGGAAGCTACAATTGATGTAAAATGAAGCAGAGCAAAGAGTTCTGGAGGGTGGCACACATAATACTGCTGTTGCGTGAGCTGCATTGGTTGCCAGTATGCTTCTGGGTCCAATTCAAGATATTGGTTACTGTTGTGGCCCTGCAGGAGCCGTTGGAGCTGCCACCAGACTCCGACAGCGAGGGGCCCTATGAGTCGGCCCTGGAGGATGTGGAGGACCCTGGACAGGGTTTCGACTCTGAGCAGGGCGCAGAGAGACTGGTTGGCCACCAGGTGACGCCTGAGCCTTGGATCAGTGGGGAGGAGAGAAGAGAGAGTGATCCAGAATCCAACTGTGAGTTGTTCCAGGATGCATGCCGTCGAAGAGCTACTCAGTGTCAA